GTTGCAGCATGCTTTCGTGCTATCTTCTAATCTTCAAATGAAGACAATGTATGAATGTAAGTCATTTGCATGAAAACCTTTTAGAAACAGGAAGCGCTCTCCCTGTAAGCTAAAACTTCAGAGTTTCAACTACTACTAAATAGAAAGTCAATATACCTACTGATATTTTATCTAAGAGGAACAAAGTTCTTGAAATTATCAATTATATTCTTGGCCAAGCAGTAAACCATACCACCATATATGTTGCTACTAATACCACTCCTACTACCACCAGAAAAAAAAAAAAAAAAAAGGAAAAAAAAAGATTATAATCCAATTGCCTATCTCTGTTCAATTACTGTAACTGATCTAAATGTACTTAAATTAATTTCCTGTAAACAAGCACTTACTGGAATACACACTTTGAATACAGGTAATAAATGTGTTAGAAAAACAAACAAAACCCAAACCGTAGCTTGCCGCAGAAATCAGTGTGCTGTCCCGCAGCTGTGATGTCACTTTGTTAAATAATATTCCACTACTTACAACACACATACAGTATCCAAACAAGAGCATGAGCCCAGAACTCTGACATTTATGAAGACATAAGAACCATTTTTGAGCAAGCAGGTATAAAAAAAAGTCTTTTCCAGATTGAGAAAAAACTGCAACAGACCAACTTGCAAAGAAAGTCCCAAAGAAAGGTTAGTGAAAATTAGGAGCAAATCCCATAACAGCAGACAGAAATCTAGCACTTTCCAAGTCCATACCCCTGATACTGTCATCTTTTTCAGTAGCAAAAATCAAATCCTTTCCGGCTCTCCAATGGTATTATATGCACCAAAACTCCTGTGGTCAGGTTGGTTTTTACTTACTAGCCGTTCGATCAGCAGTCACCAGCCAAGGTGTAAAGCAATCTCGCTCCACCACTTCAACTGCCTTCAGAGGTCAGTCTCCCAAGAGGACAGAGTAAAACAACCCACAGGCAGCAGAAAGCAGGCATCTAACAATGCCTAATGATAGATAAAACATGAATTCTGTAACCCCACTTACAAAACAACACAACTCCCTCACTCCCATTGCTCAACTAACTTTTTGGTTTCATAAAGGTAAGTATTTTCCTTCTTCCATCTCAGCCCCAAGTTGGTGGTCTTAAGTATTTCCATGCCAAGCAAAGAACAACTACATGCAATTTAATTTTGCTGCAACTGAAACATCTTGCAAGCAAAGATATTTACACAATGCAAGGCTTTAAACTAAACAAACCTATCCTCGCCCAGACACAGAATGGGTAGACGTGTTTCTTCTGGCCTTTAAACTAACACACTTTCATCTCTGAGAACAAATCTTATTGTCTTGGGACATTTGCCTCAACGGATATTCTCAGGCTCGTGTCTCTGCCTTTCCCCTACACGCTCCTTTTTTTTTTTTTTTTTTAAACTTAATTACAGGAACATTTTCCAGCTTTCAGACAAGCTGTATAAACAAAGCTGTGACCACTTGTGGCTATTAAAAATTCCACAGAAGTTTTTGTAGGAGGACATCCTCCTGAACAGATTTATCTCACAGTGCAAAACCAAACTCTACCTGCATTGAATTCAGTCAGTAAAACTGGCTAGATTTGGTTCCTTCCTTCTTTTAACTACCTCACTGCGCTAATCTTTGCTATTCAGTCACCGCTGAACGTGTTCCAGCATCAGAGCAATGGCACTTCCCATTAAGAGGGAAAATAACCCTGTACAGAACATCCTTTCCCATACAAAAATCACCAGTCAGTGGTATGAGGAATTTCAGACGGAGTCCACGGCTTGCAGAGTTATTCTGAGTCTTCAGCCACGAGGGAGGCGGTGGCCAGAACGTGCGTTAGTGGCCAAACCAGCAGAGACCCTCAAACCCAACAGCCATCGCTGTCCCTGTTCAGCTGCCGGGGATCACACCGCCGCGCTGCTCCTGAGAGTGTTTTTCACCCCAGGGTGAGGACATACTTCACAGGCAAGTTATGGGTAAGATATTGCCCTTTTGGGCTTCTAATGATATGTAGAGGAAAAAAGACCTAACAATATTAACCCCATTACCACATAAAAATGTTTTCAGGAATTTAGAGGAAACAGTTTCCCTCTGACATGACCCACTAAATCTCGAAGATTTTTTATTTAATTTTTTTTTTTTACTTCCACTGAAAGGTAGGTTTAATTATACCAGTGATCCACATTCATCATAATTTTTCTTGAAAGAACAAACAGCGCCGTGGGCGCTGCTGACCCCACTGCCGCCGCACCGGCGCGGTAACGGGCACCGCGCAGCAGCCGCCAGACCCTCCCTTGCCACCCACACGCCCACAGAACGGACCAGGGACTCCCACCGGCCTTTCACCTCCTCGTTACGCCATCAGCACCAGTGTTTGCCATTTGAAAGCAGTATGTGCTCACGGGAACGGGTATTTCTTTTTTACTGTCCATGCTCCGTCATTTTTATGAACAAACAGTGCTGAGGGCCACAATTACCTTTTATTTACCTCCTTTGCATCTCATATTCAATAATGTATCTTACTTCATCATTTTGATGTATTGCCATTAGGAAGCCAAGCCTTTTGCAACAACAAAGTAGAAGAACCCCCTTCAAGCAAATAAAAGCACATCACTTGGTGAGGAAGAACCACCACCAGGGACCAGCCCTGAGCGAGACATCACAGGCGGCGGGTTGGTACCGGCTCCCCCCCGTCCCCGCACCCCCACGCCCCCGGCTCCCGGACACACTGTCCGGCCCGGATCCTGTTTTTTCTGGGTTTGTTTTGTGCCAGTTTGGCCAAATGGCTTCACTGAGGGACCACAGAGCTGCCCAAGCCAACGTGACAGGCGCAGCAGAAGCCCCGGCAGCAGGGGGGCACAGGGGACAGCAACCGCCTCCATCTCAGCCAGACCCAAAACCAGCTTAGCTCGGCACAAACCCCCACCCTTACAGTCTGCATTCCCTGAATCCTAAAAGTAGTTCAACCTGATATTAAAAATAGATAAGCATGGATTTCCTTTCAGAAGCATTTTTCTTTTGAAGTAACTCTACTCTTGCTTCAAGATGAGAAGATGCTTCTAGGGCAACTTTTCTTTCTGAAACATGTAAATACAAATTACTGAATATGAAAAGAAAGCTGGGTTTAACTTAACATTTTAAGTCTCTTACCCAAATACATTAATACTCGCATTAATAATATAAAGTGTTAAAATATGCATGGCCATGCATATTTAAGCAGCACAGAAAAAATTTATGCCGGCTAATGTAGAAATTATGAAGGGAGACATTGGTCACACTGTAATGGTACGTGTTTTGGGGAGGGTTACGAACAGATTAACACAGACACAGGAAATACCACCTAAGATAATACGTGCCTTCATAAGCATCAATTACTGTTCAAGAAATCTGGGGAACCGCCATTCTGATTACAGCGTTGTAGCTATACGCTGTCACTTACACTATCGTCTCAGCATCGGTCCTCTTTCAACAGGGAAAACAGTAACATCGAAGTGATGTGGGACAAATGTAATACTTTGCAGTGCCAAGCACCATAAGTAAAAATGCACAATCTTGCGCTGTCTTGCTGTTTTAGGAACAGTAGTACATTTACATTGCCTTAAAAATTTTCTTACTTGGCTTTCAGCTTTTTAACAAAACGACTGCATCAGACTTCTTTTCCCCGCAGCAAGTAATGGGGACGGGTGATCAGAATCAGCTTTGTGTAGTAACGCCACCAGTATAAATACAGATACTGCCCTTCCAAAAATAAGAGGCCCCAAGCCTTTTCTTTGCACAGCATCAGAACAACAAAACAGTCAGACGCAATCAAATGAGTTTCCCCCCCAACATGTATGCTGCAAGGCAGAGTCTCACAGACAAACAATTTTGGGAGAATTCAGTAAAAATTTCCTCCCTATGGAGTACTCATATGTGCAAAACCAGAGAAACAAACAGGTCAGTTACTCAGTGCTACAACTGAAGTCAAATTTTCTCTGATGTCTGCATTTGAAAGCCTTTGTTCATAGTACACTACCTTACAGTAAGCATTAAAACACACTTTAGGCTTTATAGAGTAAGAGTCTGCAAATTCTGCCTTTCTTTTGTTGACTTTAATTGCAAGATCCAGGTCACAATAAATTTCAGCACCCCCAAGTGAGAGCGACCCAGCAATAACGCCAGGAGAGACGAAGGGTGAGAGCTGATGGCAAATAACGGGTCCCCCGGCAGTGCAGAACTGCGGCCAATTTCAAGTGGGAGTCTTGGGAAGGAAATCAGGGCCCCCCCTCAGCGCGATCTGGGAGGCAAAGGGAACAGGTCACCACGCCAAGTACGCACAGCATAGCCAAGTGACATATTAAAGATACCACGTATTTAATTGGAACCCTTCATTCATTCCAGTCCAGAGAAAGGGCAGCAAAAGAGCAGGGGGTTTTGCTTCCCTGCAGCAGGAAGAGAAAATTCTGAAATTAAAAAGCGTAGATGGAATAGCTTCCCAAGAGCAAGATCTTCTATGCCGTAGAATAGAAGCAGCATGTACCTTTTAACGTGGGACACCTCTGATTTTGCCCAATAGAAGTGTAGTGTGCTACTACACAGAATTACACAAACAATGCGATGGAAAGGGAGTGGACGGTCCCAAGACTAATTTTTACAACAGCGCAGTTCATTTCTGATTGAGCCAAGCATACAGGCCATGCTGACAGTAATTAAAAAATACTCGCATTCTAAACAACTGGAAGATGACAAAACTTCAGGTAAGCAAACTTCAAGAGACTTCCACTGTCTTCAGCTGACTGACATCATGCTATGTAATATCAAGATATTATCTAGTTCAAATCCAGATCAGAAAATTGGCAAAGAATATCCACCTTTGTGACTTAAACTACATTCCCTTTTCACTTGAAACGGGCAGCGGATAGCACTGGACTGTCTCCAGTCTATCAACCACCACCAAAGTCGCGCTGCTCTACAGGAGCAGCAGTGGTCCTGTGGGTACCCGTGGGCTGACCACCATGGGGGGCCATCGGCACAGACTGCCCGTGGAAAGCAGGTCCAAGGAGTGGAAGCTCATACAGACTGGGAAGCTGCTTGAACTACTGCTGCCACTGACCACGACTTGGCTCCGTGTTCACCTCAGAGGGTTTGGGATGATTCCAAGCAACTCTGCAGAGCACGAGGCAAAGCTAAACTACCGATGGGAGAGCAAATCCCCTCTGTCAACTTCTCCTTGTCGACCAGGACAGGGCTCTCCCTCGCCCAGCAGTCACAAGGAGTACGTGTGGATGAAAAGGAGAGCGGGGACAGTCCGTCTCCCGCTGGCACAAAACCTCCAGCAGACCCTGCGAAGGGCCAGACTAACCACAGACGTCCCGCTGCTGAGCCAGACTGCTCTCGGCTCCCGGACACAGCCATCTCCGATGGGACAACTCCTCCTGAGAGCAGAGATCGTTTCATCATCTCTTGGGTGAGGAAGAGGCAAACAAGAACACGCTGGTTCAGCTTTTGAAATGGTGTTCTGAGAAGGAAAAAAACAATTAAATGGCAGCAGCGTTTCAGCGTTGCCCTTGATGAACAGCCGTGTTCCCCACAGCACCCCGTCACCAGGAGCGCAGGGGCTGGCTGCCGCGCACCTACAGTTTTTCCTAGGATAGACCCTGGAAAAAAGACTCGAAAAAGCAAACACACCAGCGTAGTAGCAGACATTCCTGTCGGATCCATTTTGAGTAGCAGCATGCAAAATGGAGAGGAATGTCGCTGAGCAGCTGCGGGGGGGTGTCCCGGAGCCGGGCCCCCGCAGCCGCCCGCCAGCAGTGCCCTCGGACGCGGCTCCACCTTCCGGCACAGCCCACCAGACCCACCGTGCTCCCAGCAAAACCTGCAGTGCTCAGACAGCCCTTCTGTCACAAATTTCCAGTAACCTCTACCCTTGGCAACAATGGAGCTGCTCGCTGCACTTCACTCATTAGTGCAGAGCATTAGCCAGTTACTTAGGATTGCTGGCTGTTTCTAAAGCACACAAATCCAATTTTCAGAAAAAGCAAGGCAAAGTTCATCTTTGCCCTTCCCCCATCCCTGCCCGCCACGGCGCTGGAGTTAGATTTCAGAAGCAGTATTTATCGCAGAAGCTTTCTATTTATTCATTTTCCAGGATCAGTCGCACGCAGGAGGAGGTGGAACAACTGCTGGATTTGAAAGCAACCCTCCTTCTCTGGGGATCGTCTCCCAAAGGCAGCTATAGAGCGCCATACCGGACTCTCTCCTGTCAAGCGACTGCTCCAGCGGCATTTGCCTTCCACCGGAACATGAATCTGCGGACGCACAGCACTGTGCACAATGTGACGCCTGGCGCTGTGTAAGCCTTCGAAGCCCCTGCAGTCTCTGCCAAAAAAGTAACCCTGATACCTGCTATGGAACTCGCCGAGCCACGGTGCTTGCAGAGAAGCGCGCTATCGGTAACGCAGTATTTTGCTCCTTGGCCATCTCGGGCTTGAATTGCTCCATCTCCTTGCTATGACACCAACGGGCCCGTCGCCCGCGCGCCCGGCAGCCTGAGAGGGCACCAAGAGAGGTCGGAATTGATTCATAGATTCGTTAATGAAGGAACAGTAAGGCTTAGTTTAAGACTGTAAAGTATTTTCAGATTCCTCAGATTCAGATTTAGCTTTTGTGAATTGTTGGTTGCCACCACACCATGCGACAATCAGCTTGACAGGTCGCTAATCCAGATACAAAAGAGCTTTTTATCTGGTGCGCTGACAAGAAGTTTGCTGGACGGATCCACTTACCGCGAGGTCCGACCCCTGGTCTCCCGTTCTGCGACTGGCAAAAGACCACCGGCAGCTCACACCAACCCTGGCTCACCACACTTCCAAAACAGAGCACATTCAGCACATGCTTGAATCCTTGCAAATAGAGACTCTGTGTTACAAAAAGAGATTTTTCATACTCCAACCAGACCTTCTGGCATTCTGATCAAGAACTCATTTGAATAAATACTTTCCTCCTATTTGGACTTTCCCTAACAGTTCCAGCCAGATCTGCTAAAATATTACATTGCCCTTTCTAAGCTGTTTTTTCTGCCCGATACTGGCAAAATCACTGCATTCCTTCCAGAGATCAGTGAAAAATAATCTGAACATATAATCTTTTGTACTTCATTTTCAAATAATGTTATCATTTTTTCTCAGCCAAATACTTAACAAGCAAAAAAGTCATATCCCTACAACTTCAAAGATCTAAGCAATTTAGTTTTATTACTCTCGATGTCTCTCAATTACAGCATAGAAAATTCAGCATTTTCCCTGCAAATGAAGAGACATTTACAAACTTTAAGCAACTAACTGGCATTCGATCCTCAACCTCTTTTTAAGTGCACCAGCTCCTGCTGCTCCTATTAATAAACATACTTTCTCAGATTTCCACTTCATCCTGCCATGCTCAAATAGGTAACACTTTTGTTGACTGGGAAGCAATTGGGGGGGACCAAACACTTCAGTTCTGCTACCCCTCAACATGACACAAGAGGTAACAATGGAAGATATCACTTCCTAAATGAGTAAAACCCACAGCAAATGGTTATTTTTCTACCTGGAGACAGTGGCTTCCCCGACACGTGGTTATACGTGGCCTCTGCCGAGCACATGTCCAAAGAGGCAGTCTCATCTTCAGAGCAGCGCTCTACCTGGCACAAGCTTTCACTATACAAAGACAAAACTTTGTCTAAGACTGAAAAAAATCTGACTCGTACCAACACACTTGCAATCATCCTAAATTTGCTGTAGGGCCACCAGAAATAGCAAGCTGTAAGTTCTGTTCAGCAGTCTGTAGCAACAGCGGCTGCAACTCTGCCGACACAGCTCGCGCAATAAGTAGTAAGAAAACTTATTAATGCAGTTTAGAGATTCTTCCCTATTTCACAAACACGGACAATACAGCAGTGAGTAAAAAACAACTGCAGAACACCATTCACAGATAAACTCTTTTTTGTTTCAAGCATTTCTCGACCACTGAGAAAAGTGGCTGGTAGTAAAAGTGGTGGCACTATTAAGCATAGATTTTTGTCACCAACAATCATCTAACCCTGACAGCACACACCTAGAAAGGCAGCAGTCTACAGTCCACTTCAAAAATATACAAAAACTAGTTCTAAGATATTCTTCAATCACAGCATCTGTCCTACCTTCTCTTCAACGTCTTATTAAATTGGACCTTAAAACTTTGTTGAAGTATTTGAAGCTCAACCAGAACACCCGCGTGCCATGCCCAACTGAGGCTGCGGATGTTTAGCCGGTATCTCTAAATGTCCGGAAGCTAGTTCTGAAAAATCACATTATGAGCCTTAAAAAAAAAAAAAAAAAGTCAACAAAAACCCCTTTATACAAGTTTTTAATCAGGCTGTTAGATTCCATTAGACCTGACTAAAAGTATTTTATTATGAAAGTTTATAACTGTTAAAACAAATGAACAAATGGAAGCATCTAATTTTCCTTTTTCCTGAATTCTTCCACAGTTGTAGCTTATGATAGGACATTTTTTTTAAGGTAAAGAACCTCAAATCATAATTAATTATGAACTAACTATCAACGGAAGACTAGACATCCTGCATTATCCTAGCTAAGAACTTATGAAAGTAAAATCTTATCATAAATTTTCAATTTTAAATGCCAGATTGGTCACTAATGAAATCTAAAAATATTTTTTACTGATTTAATGACGGTGTACATGCTCTCACTAAATACTGCAGCATGCAACTTTGCATGGCACACACAATGTGCTCATACTAAACAGATGACATAGTTTCCATAAGAATTAGTAGCAATGGAAAACGACAACTTATACAGACCCACAGAATATAATCATGACATTGTTCATTAATGCCTGCCACCACTGTTAACTCTTTTCCAGAAAATCTCAAGAGGAAGCTAGATATAGCAGCAGAAGCTGATGAACTTCCAGCTGCAAGGGAGTGGGAGGGAAAGGAAGCAGACCGATTAGTTGAATAGATTTATTGTATGCACATATTCTATGTTAAAACCCTGTATCTACTATAACATAAATTTTTTTGAGTCATTTGACTGTTCACAATTCAAATACAGGAAAATGCTATCAGGCT